GGGGGGGGGGGGGGGGGGTCGAAAAAAGAGTAAATTCTGGGAGACACCTAACACGAATAAAGGAAGCACTCGAAAAGGAAATCATATATTAGAATAATAAAAATAGTAAACGAATTGTTTTATCGATTTTGAGGTTACATCTGTAGCACAGGCTAAAGTCAATACACGTAACTCAACGTTAAAACATCAACCTGCCAGTAAGCAGGTTTGGTGGAAATAGTGGGGGAGGTGGAAAAAATTTAGGGGAGGTGCAGCAGTCTAGCTGATGACCCCCTTGGTAAGTTAGGGCTTAGAACGGGCCAAAGTCAACGACGTGACGTATATGCATTAAAAGGGTACTTGACACATATGAATGGCTATCACTGGACAGAAAAACTTTCTTACGAAATGCAGACCCCATAAGCAACCAAAAATGTCAAATTTTCACATTGGTATATCATTGAAGCTTTCCCAAGGGGGGTGCGTCACTTTTCAGGGGGGTGCAAAAATTCTCAGGGGAGGTGCAGAACGATCTCAGGGGAGGTGCGCACCTCCCCAGGTGCGACCTCCCCACACCTCCCTTCAAAATCCGGACATGTGGTGCTTACCTGTGCACAAATTGGTGGCCTTCAAACACATAATAAACCTCAATTGGATAGTTCTGAATTAAAAACGAAAAAATAAAAGCTTGACTCTACACACAATGATAGATGTGGGTCCAGGGGCATGCGCACACCCATGCATGCAGTCTTCGCCACATACGCCAAGTGAACTCCATGCATGTCTTTTATCAATAAAAAAATAAAAAGTAAAAATAAATAAAACCGGTAAAGTAAAAATAAACTGAGTTCACTGCTTACGCCTTTAATAGCCCTTTCACGAAATATCCGTGCGTCAACCTACAGTATGGAAAGATTTCGAATTCAACTCAAAATAATCTGCCGAAAAAAATCCTTCATAACTATCATCACCATTACAATTAATATGGATTTCAAAAAAGAATGACTCAATAAATTCACGAATAGACAAATTTGGCTTGTAAATTAAAACAGTAAAAAATTCGGCGTTATACGCTGTTTTTCCAATTTCCCAATTTAGGTCTGCCAAAACTAACATACAGTATAACTTTATGAGAAACAATTAAAAATAGAAGATTGTTCAACTTCAATAGAACTTTGCTCAAGAAGAAGTGGGAACCATATCAGTGTTGTGAGGATGTCATCTATAGTCGGCCTAAGCCTAAAATAATTATATTTATCTGTTTTTACTATGCACTACAATGACAGTTGTTGCACTTCAAAGGTATCAATTTTAATAGATCAGCAAATGTGCCCAATCAGCGTCTTGCGCTTGGCCATGAGGCACTTGCATGTAAGCGACGCGACGTCGCATTCATGCAGACCAGCGTCAATTAGCAATAAGGGAACAAGGAGATATTTCTTAAACTCAATTCTGAATGTCGCGGGCTAACTGAATTTCACAATATTTTATTAAATTGCCGAATTTTGTTTTTCTGGCTAACACCCTGTAGAACAATTGTATAATTAGGCATGCGAGTAATTTAAAGTTCTGAATTGGGTATAGCAACGATGTAAACAATGTTAGGCAAATTTCTTCATGAATTGATAAACGAACGAATGAATGAATGGCCGGTAGTTGAAGGCGCTGAACATAAATATGCAGGTTCATGTATATGACTTGATTTGATCCAAGTCTCGTTCGAAATGGATTTTTTGATAAGGTCTATCCAGTGTAATACGAGATCAGGTCATGATTTGAAACGAAGAGTGAGCGAGACTTGTAACGGCTCGGCACTTATGTCGAGCTTGAGTGTGATTGTCATGCACGTATTATTATTATTATTATTATTATTATTATTATTAAAAAATATTTTAAAACGGTAGCTCTTCAGGGCTCGTAGGCACATGTTTTTCAAGAGGCCGTTTATTACAGTATTTACAAGCTATATATTAAATATAATAACACAAATATACACACAAAAACAGAGAAAACATAACGAACTTAATGACAACATGTTACCTTTGGTCTAACTTTACTAACATTCAGCGTAAAGTACGTTGATGCTGTAGCACGAGGTATTGGTTTCCTTCTTGTAGGAATACTCCATTTCACTTCATATCTGTAGCGTTTACTATAGGGTAAGTCTTCTTCTTTTAGAAAGTCTATACAGTGAAGCCAACTTGCATCTCTCTTCCAAGTCTGTAAGTCAGATCAGAAAGTAATAAAAATGTATATAATTTTTCAATGATCAATGGTAGGTTTTCAGGTTTGTTTACAACGTTTCAAGTACTAGTTAATCTGATATGAGCAGCCGATCTTTATCTGATATACAAACTCGAGCCGAAAGCGAGAGTTTGTATGAGGTTATATATTAACCAATTTAATAGCTAGTGAACCACACGTGGTCCGGAAATTGGGTGTCACTGTTGAGGTGTGCCTGGCGTTGCATGCGCTGCTCGCGCAACATATGGTCATTAGCTGTTGGGCACGCAAAGTGTACGGATCATTTCCAAAATAAAGCAAAAGTTTGAAATCCCCCCATCCCACCCGTGATCAAAGAGGGATGCGGAGTGAGATATTGGCTCGTATTATTTGATTTTTTTCACCACCATTCGTAATGGTGTGATGGGTGCAAGCTGCCCAAGTGTGGTTAGCAGTTCAAGATACCACTTGCGTGGATCTTTCCTTAATCCAAGTACCAGGGCTAGTTCCCAGGCCACCTCGGTCAACAGCACCTAATCTTCCAATTTGGTAAGTAGAGTAACAATGGTACTCGAATATTTGGTGGCCATATCCATGGTGAACGTAGATTTTAAATATCGGATAAAGATTGGATGCGAATGTTTTAACGTACTTAAAAATAGGTACGCGTTACGTAATAACGTACATAGCCTATAGGATTGGCAATTGGTAAATTATAGCGTATAGCTAATTTCGTTCAAAATAAGTAAATTAATTGCTCGTTTGCAATCGAGGCCATCTTGGTCGATTTTTCAAGACATTAATACCACCATTCAATTCAGTGAAACAAAATCAACTAATTCCTTACAATAGTTTTAGTCATTATCAACATTGTAGTGATTTATGGCCTCTGAAGACCTCTGAAAGTCAAGCGAGATTGTATTTTATCAAATTACTCAAACTTTCGCTGAACTTAAATCCAGCCATGCTAATGCTAATGCAGAGGTAATTCGACCTTTAGGATCGGTTTCCATGTGAACATACACAACATTCATATAATGCTACTGAAGGACAACTTTGTACGTTTAAATAAAAAGTAAACACTTGGACACTGTAGCTGTGTGACACTAATTAACAAGTCAAACTGGATGTCATACTATATATACAGGGTGTATCAAAAAAAGCGCAATCCTCGACTGAAATGTAAATTGCTAAACAAATAATAGACGAAAACGTTAAAGTTTACATTCATTTTAAAGCGTAGCCATTCAGCTTTCTAACAGTGGGTTGTTTCTTAAATTTGACTCATTGGTTCGCGGATAATAATACTTTACGTTATTGCGATTGGAGATTAAAAAAATTGAGATGGAATAACAAATCGTTCTCATGAAAATACCTGATTTTTTCATTAAAACAAAAAAATGTTGCATTTTATTAAATGGATTGTAACAATAAGTATAATTACGGCTTTTCTTCCACTATTTTTAACTCAGTTTGAAACTTCAAATGCGATATAATTTTGGCTTGGACCATCTAAGCTGACTGACATCAACTTGCTATAATTTCTGTTTACATTACATCGCAATTCGATGACACTCCGGCTCAGACACCAGAATGTTTTGACGATTTTTAGCATTCGTTTAGGATTTTCAAACAACCTGGTCTCTTGTAAAATACTTTTAATTTGTTCTTACGTGGTTTTCCAGATGTAGTGACGACAACATTAAAGTTTAAAGAAGAAAATTCTAACATTTAAATCGACTAAACAATAACATAGTAAACTTGCATAATTAAACAGCAACTAAAAATGATAGGTTTTACTAAATCTTTTCCTGTGCAATTATTACTAGCATTGGAGACAAGGGTAATAGTTTGTTTGAAAGAGAAAAGAACAGGCTTTGAAGTAAGCCTAAAAGCGTTTAACTAGAAATAGTATTTCGAAAGTTATTAAGCACAAAAGATGAATTGCGTTTATTTTGATACACCCTGTATAGGAAAAAAAATATTTCACTGAGAATCTCAAAGTATAATAGACTTACATAAAAACTAATGTGAATACAAGGGTTGATCCTATAAGTAAGTACGGATGCCAAAAAGGCTAGAGCACTAGCTACTATACTAGGGACATGTCAGGGAGATCCATGCTCGGCCCCCAGAAAATTTTGAAAATCAGGTGTCTGGCCAGATCGGAGCCCTAAAAATGCATTTGCCATATACAATATTGTTACATCATTCTAGTCTATAGATTTTTACATGCACTGTCACCCTATTAATATGGATGCACAGATGCACTTAATATATAATTGTATTTCTGAGGTCATGGTGTGAATTTTCCTGTGAATTTCTCCTTTTCATCTAAATTAATTATTACAATACCGGTAATTAAATTTTTCTTTCTTGGGGGAATTTTTCTGGGAACTCAAAAAATTTGAGTTTAACTATTCTGCGGGTTGCGGGCCGAAAAATGCGGGCTGCGGGCCGAAACTGCGGGCTGCGGGCCAAAAAATGCGGGCTGCGGGCCAAAAAATGCGGGCTGCGGGCCGAAAAATGCGGGTTGCGGGCCGAAAAATGCGGGTTGTGGGCAGAAAAATGCTAACACGATTGCAAGCCGCGGGTCTAGTTGCGGGCCTGACGAATTTTTAAAAAAATATTGTCAAAATGTAAAGAAAATAACAATATTATTCAAAATTTTCTGTCTGAAGTATATTCTATGTCTAAAGTTATTCGTAATCATATGCATACGAATTTTTCCTTAAATTCATTCTTTTTGTAATATCATGGAATCTCAGTTTATGAGTCATACCAGACATTAAAACCTGTTTCGACCGGGATAACTGTACACCAATCCTAATAGTAGCACTATTTTCCATCCAGCAAACTGACCTGACGTCATTTTCGGAAGAGAGAAGAGGTGTTAAACCTGTTTTCCACTTCGACCGTATCGCAGCACTTTCTTTTGTGTTGAAATCATTAGTTCCACTCTAGCGCTCAGGAAACAAAGACTGAATACGCTACGTTTCGGTACACGGCAAAAAACGCCGAGCCCGCTGCTCAACAGGATTGAACAATGTTTTGCTGCCCACATTGTTCACACTTGTCAACAATATTGAACACTATTGTTGAGCCTGAATATTGTTCAATATTGTTGACAGCTATGAACAATGTGGGCAGCAAAACATTGTTCAATCCTGTTTTCATCAGTATTGCATCAACCTGAGCGTTTTTACACGTGTACGATACGGTTGAAGTGGAAAGCGGCCTTTAAATGGCTATGTAACTAACACAAACCCTACACCTAGTCCCTACTCTAACCCCTAACCCTAACCCCAACCCTAACTCTAACCCTAATCGAATTAATAAAAACGACGATAATATAAACAAGGTCAAGGTTTTATCGAAAGCGATTGACTGTTAGATTTCCTTTTATACTATTTTATAACTAAATAATGTTATTTCCTACAAATTTAGCTTTATTGTAGCTTTATCGAAAGTATAAAAAAAAAAAACATGGAAACGGCGAATTACTATAGATTGAAAATAATTATTAAACTATGATTGAAATTATCGACGTGGAATACTATTTCGTTGTATTAAATTTCAATAGTATAATGAGAATTTTGTTTGATATTTTAATATATTTCATGCTATTTACAAAATGTACTGTAGTTTTGAAGTTTTGCACACAATATAGTATATATTGAGCATATATAAAAAATTGAGTATTTTGATAGCGTAGCCAGGCTTCACGATATAAATATTAAAAACGACTGATAAATAATCATTCATTTTATGATTAATATTTTATTGCGAGCACAACTGCTCCAGAATCACAACAAATAACAGAATATAAGGAAAATTAAAACCAGCAAAGCTTTATCTACCTTGATCTATTTTTAAAGGTGCTCAAATATTTTTCTTTGCCTTTCCTCGAGCATGAGTGATGAAATGCTCGTCGGAAAAACTCGGTATTTGTCATATTTTACGAATTTGCCACGTGACCGGTACGCTCGCCAATAAAAGTTGCATGCCATATATGGCATGCAACAAAAAAATAGTTAGACCAGCAATTTGGCCCGCGGCCCGCAATTGTTTTAACCCGCAGCCCGCAAAACCTGACCCGCAGCCCGCAAAATAGCTAGACCCTAGTCACTAGACTGCCGGCCATTTAGTATTTGATAAACCGTGACCGGCTGCCGGTCATATAGTCACTTTGATATATTAAATATTAAAAACGACTGATAAATAATCATTCATTGCAAGCACAACTGCTCCAGAATCACAACAAATAACAGAATATAAGGAAAATTAAAACCATCAAAGCTTTACCTACCTTGATCTATTTTTCTAAGGCGCTCAATTATGTACATTTTCCGCGAACACTCAAACATTTTTCTTTCCCTTTCCTCGAGCATGAGTGATGATTGCTTGTCGGAAAAACTAGGTATTTGTCGTATTTTACGAATTTCCACGTGACCGGTACGCTCACCGCGACACGAAATTTAGAGCTATATGAAAGTTGCATGCATAGGCGTACGGGACGGGAGAAAATTAGGGGGGCAGAAAGAAATTTGCCCGAATTTTTCGGATTGTGCCCGACAAGTGCTGAAAAATTTTTTTCCGGAACAATTAATTTTTGCGACCTCCCCCCCCGTCGCCAAAAAAATTTCGGTCAGTGTACCATTTTAGGGGTCCAAAAAATTTTTCCGACATACCAAAATTTTTCGGAACATCAAACAAATTTTCCCGAAAATCGCCATAATTTTCCGCAAAATTTACACAATTTGTCCCATTTTATTTTATAATAACCCAATATTGCCCGACTGTACGTTAAGCGAATATTGCCAAACTGGCTTTGTTTGCCCAACAAACTGGGATTATTATTAAGAGAGATTTTGTTGCTTTTACTACTTTTTGCCCGACTTTTGCCCGACTTTTGCCCGACTTTTGTTGAACATTTGCCCGAATTTTCGACTTTGTAATCTTTTTTGGGGGAGCAACTGCCCCCCTTCCCCCCCCCCCATCCCGTACGCCTATGGTTGCATGCAACATATATGGCATGCAACAAAAAATTAGTTAGGCCAGCAATTTGGCTCGCGGCCCGCAATTGTTTTAACCCGCAGCCCGCAAAAACTGACCCGCAGCCCGCAAAAACTGACC